GTTTAACACATTATATACATGTAACAAATACGGCTTCCTTTTACGAACATAGGTAAGAGTGGTGGCCAACCCATTTGTATAAAAGTGATATGGGAAAAAAGGATGCCGCACCTCGAAACATTTAAAATTTTCGGGTCACGATTTCCTACGCACCAGTAAAAAAATACATAGGAAAACAAAAACAAAGAAACAAAATAAAAGAAACCACACACTGCTTCATTATAAGTGCTTGCAAAGCGACTGTTTTTGTTAAAATTATTATTATTATTAGCCTACCTTTGGCTTTATGGCTTGGGTAGTGTAATATTTCATAACTTTTATTGCTTTTTAGCAAGTTGACTTTGCATCTGGTGCATATCGCCAGCTTTTTATTTGATTGTGCATTTTTCCCATTGTGTTGTTTTTCCGTGGATGCTTTTAGAGGTTTGTTTCATGCTAATTTGTTATTTTTTATGACACTTAGAGAATTTGTAAAGAAGTTAAGACTGAAGAGTGAAGGAGGGCGGCCTCTCCCCTCTCTATACTCATGCGACAGAGTCATCTTGCCTGGGGTGATTCCCCCATGTGGGCACCCACTACAGCGTTGCATTCACACTACAAAGATGATGTTCCTTGTGTAGGAACAAACGGAAATATAGGTAGCCCTTGATTATGACAACATCTGAGTTAGGGGTGAAATCAACTTACTTTCGCTGCCAGTGCGCAAAGGTGAGCGTGCGTGCAGTTCTCATTTGTGATCTTCCCCACCAGTTTCCGACAAGCAAAGATATGAGGAAAGCTGGATTCATTTAATGACCATGTGATTCACTTAACAACTGCAGTGTTTTGTTTAACAACTGTGGCAAATATGCTCATAAAATCAGGCATGACCCACTTAACAACTGTCTTCCTCAGCAATGGAAATTTGGACCCAAATTTTGGTTGTATATGATAACTACCTGTAATGTTCAAGATGCTCAATGCTATCAACCTGAAAGTTTGATATCACAAGATCAAGTGAGGTACTAATACCACTCTATAAAGTCCTATAAAACCACACCTAAGAATTCTGCATCCAGTTTTGGTCACCACACTATAAAAAGATACTGAGACTCTAGAAAGAGTTCAGAGAAGAGCAACCAGGATGATTAGGGGCTGGAGGCTAAAACATACAATGAACAAATTCAGGAACTGGGCATGCCTAGTCTAGCGAAGAGAAGGACCAGGGGAGGCATGATAGCAATCTTCCAATATTTGAGGGGCTGCCACAGAGAGGAGGGAGATCAAGCTATTTTCTAAAGCACCCGAAGGCCAGACAAGGATTAATGGATGGAAACTGATCAAGGAGAGATTCAACCTGGAAATAAGGAGGGATTTTCTGACAGGGAGAGTAATCAACCCATGGAACATAGGTTGCCTTCGGAAGTTGTGGGAGCTTCATCCCTAGAGGCTTTCAAGAAGAGACTGGATTGCCATCTGTCACAAATGGTGTAGGGTCTGCTTTGGAGGGGGTTGGACTAGATGACCTACAAGGTCCCTTCCAACTCTGTCAATCTGTATCTGTATCTAAACTGTCAAATTATTCAAAATGCACAACTGTCCCCAACTGACCAGAAGCAAAACCGCAGTTTGCTTCCCACATTTTAGTGACTATGACGTGTTAATCAAATATTTACCTCAACATTCATGCTTTATTGTCTTCATTTAGTAGGGAGAAATTTACAAGCTATCTTTAAAGGAGCACAAGACTGAGCTTCCAGCTGGGGTACTACTAAAAAAAAAATCTATTCATAGGAATATTTTTAAATTATTTAAAGCCATCAGAAGTGAGTTTTGGTTTAGAATGGTAAAAGAGAAAAGAGATTGTATTATAAAAGAAACCAAGAAGTGTCAGTGTTTTTAAAAAAGATTGGTTGTTCATTGTTTTTTTTAAAGGTAAAATAAAAGCACGAAGAGATCTAAAAACAAAGAGTGTCTGTTCATTAAATTTAATTGAATTTTTAGTGAAAATTTTAACTAAAGCCAGACATAAAAGTTGGAATTGCAAAAGTTTTGGCTTTAAAACTTTATTTCACGAATTGGGAGCCATGTTTCTTCAGCAAACAGAAGACAGACTAAGAACTCTGCAGGATAGAGGAAAAAAAGCTAAAATTCATGGCTTACTCTTGAGGGAATTAATTGATGCAACAGCAATGCATTTGCATATCCTGTAAACACGGAGTGTTCCCTGTTAAATTTATGGCTGCAAATATCTAAATTAAATTAAATTTAATCCATTATACTTTATAAGGGACATTAAAAAAACCCTCAGCAACCTAACTAATAATAAAAATGGGGATTGTTGCCAATGAAAATGTTAGAAGCGATAATATCTCTCTGGAAAAATGCGACTCATTTCCAGGAGAGCTATGAAGCATTTAGGAAAAAGGTTCCTTGTTTTTGCTTTTGCTCTCCTTCAAATGGCGAATTTCCCACTTCAAGGACACACAGTTTCTTGACTTCCAAGTTGGGCAGCCAAAAATATAAATAGTAAACTGAACCTTATATAGTATATAGTAGCAGGTGTGTGCTTCTCTGTATTTTATTTATTTGCTGGTTACTGACCACAATAGAATGTGTGTGTGTGTGTGTGTGTGTGTGTGTGTGTGTGTGTGTGTGAGAGAGAGAGAGAGAGAGAGAGAGAGAGAGAGGTGGGGGAGAGAGATGAGTGACTTTGGGCCAATCAGAAGAAGATGGTAAATTCTAGTCCTGCCTTAGACATGAAAACTAGCTGGGTGACTTTGGGCCAATCACCAGGAGACGGTGAGTTCTAGTCCCGCCTTAGGCATGAAGCCTGATTTTGGGGGGGGTGGGGACTTTGAGCCAATCAGCAGGAGACATTGAGTTCTAGTTCCGCCTTAGGCAGGAAAGCTGACTGGGTGACCTTGGGCCAATCCCTCTTTCTCAGCTTAGCCCACCTCGCAGGGTTGTTGTGGGGAAAAATAGGAGAAAGAAAAGGTATTGATTATAGTCACCATCTTGAGTTTTTGGAAAAATAATAAAGGCAGGATACAAATAAATAAATAATAAACAAATAAACAAAAATAAACTTGTCTAAATAGGAATTTTTGAATACATTTCAAGATCACAACTTTTCTCAACTCCGGAGAGCCAAGAAGAATGTTTCTAATGCCACCACTGGAGGTCTCACTGATCATTTCAGATTATTGCTTTTTAGCAAGCGTGAAAAAAAGCTGTTGACTTATTTGCAATTTTTGCAAGCGTGCCAGATTTATCAATTTATTTTCCAATCCAAGGTTGGGTTATCCCCCCCCCCCCCGCGAAAAAAAAACCTAAAATTTGTGTTTCAGAGTTCACTGCTCTGAATGTGTTTTTCGTTTAAATGGTTGGGTTTTTTAAGGCAATTTTCTTGGAAGCATTTTTTTCTATAGTATTTCCACACATAAATGGACAGTTGTAATCCCTGGTTTACAACCACAATTGAGCCAAACATTTCTGTTGCTAAGTGAAACATTTGTTAAGTGAATTTTGCCCCATTTGACAACTTTTCTTGCCATGGTTGTTAAGTGAATTATGTCAGTAGTTGGGTTAATAACATGGCTGTTAAGTATATCTGGCTTCCCCATGGTTTTGTTGGTCACAAAAGCTGATCACATGACCCTTGGACACTGCAACCGTCATAAATATGTGTCGGTTTGCCAAGTGTCTGAAATTCGATCATGTGACCAAGGACATGCGGCAACAGTCGTAAGTGTGAAAAATGGTCATAAATCACTGTTTTCAGTGCAGTTGTAACTTTGAATGCTCACTAAATGAACTGTTATAAGTGTTGTAAGTTGAGGACTGCCTGTGTATGGTTTTTAATTACTGTTGAACAATTGCTCTGAAAAATCAAAGAATTTTAGATTTTTTTTTTAAAAAATAACTAATTTCTATTGATATATTGGTTCAAGAATACAAAGTTAGGGAAGATTTGCATCAACTACCAAATATTCTTCCCCCGTTACCTGCTTCCTAAAAAAAAAAAAAAAA